TGGTTGGCTGCCTGGGACACCCCCTCGAGGACCACCTCATTCTCATTGGGTCCTACTGCCCATCCCGCTCCCACCCCGCTCCACAGCCGTCATGCATAAGGTCCCTTCTGGACAGCTCCAAGCCATCTCTCTTCACCCAGGTCCCCTAGCAGCCACGGCATACTCCCCACTGACAGGTTCGCTCTTCACAGTGGCATCTTCTGATTCCAACTCCGAGCAGCCAGCCAGGCCAGCACCCCACGTGCAGGCTTTCTCAGCCTGAGGTCCCCAGAATCCAGGACACACAGGCTAAGCTCTGCAGATGGTCTCCTTGAAGCCCCTCTCACTTAGCCTGTGGAAGGGGGAGACAGGCCCCATTAGGCAGGAGAAGTGAAGTGCCACAGCACCCCAATGCTGCCTCTAGAGAAAGCCTCATCTGCCTTCTGACTGCTCTCACTGTCGTTTCTCATGTCTCTGTCTGTAGGCAGGAGGTGTGGCCTCCCAAGGTTTCTAAAACTAGTTCTTAACCACACTGGTTGAAATAACTACTTTAGATGGTCTAGCACCTTGTTTTAGAATGTGGGTGCAGTTAGCAGCCCTGGCTGAAACTGAATCATAAAAAGCTGTGTTTAAAAATAGCATTTTACTTTGAAGTAATTTCAGATTCAGAGAAAAGTTGCAAAAATATCCTGTTTTCCATCAAACTAATTTATCTCATCATTAATTTTGGTATTCGTTGACGATTCTTGCTATAAAAAGTATGACTATGATGACTGCCAAATTTTGATTTTTCTAATTCTATCATTCCTTCTACATTTATTATGGCATTCTATTGTAAGGGAGATAGTTCCCTTCTCCATTCATTCATTCATTTATATCAGAATGGACTAATGGATTCTTATTTTACTCTATGGGTTATAATCCATTACTATTATGTATTTTGAGGACTCAAATTGTCTAAGGTTTTGTCAATGGGAACCCCTCCAAGGTGGCTCCTATATCTTTTTTTAAAAGATGCTCAACATTGCTATCTATTAGGGAGATGCAAATCAAAATGAGATACCATCTCACACCTGTTAGAACAGCTATAATCAACAGGACAAATGCTGGAGAGGATGTGGAGAAAAAGGAACCCTTATACACTGCTAGTGGCAAACAAATTGGTATAGCCACTAAGGAAAACAGTATGGAGGTTCCTCAAAAAACTAAGAGTTGATCTACCATATGATCCAGCAATCCCTCTACTGGGTATGTACCCCGAAGACTTGAAAACTCATATCCAAAAAGATATTTGCACACCGATGTTCATAACAGCATTGTTCACAGTGGCCAGGACATGGAAGCAACCGAAGTGTCCCACGATAGGTGACTGGCTAAAGAAGCCGTGGTACATATATACAACGGAATATTACTCAGCCATAAGAAGAAATGAAATACTGCCATTCACAACAACATGGATGGAC